AAGGTCTTCGTCCTGCTGATTGGGTCTTCGCCATCGAGCTACCGCTACTCGTGTCATCGCTGAGCCATGCTCGCCGGTCACACCCCTCGTGTCGTCGTTGAGCCCTACTCGCCAACGCGTCTACTACCGCACTGCTTCTTCTTCGTCCAGCACAACCACATCATCAGCGTCACCGTGGTTGGGGCCCTCTCCCTTGTACGCCCGGTATTGGCGACACTGACGCGTGCTTTCGTCCCCGACGCGTTGTTGGGTCTGGCAATCCCAACCGCGCCTCGGCGTTCAGGCGGCTTGACTGCATAGACTTAGGCATATCGACCCTCCCGTTCCCACCCCGTCTGCCTCGATTGTGTCGTCGCCTTTCTTCTACGCCTATGACGGCCCTGACTAAGTCGACTTCGGCATCGCCCCCTCCCACGACGACTGCCTCAACGCGTCTCTGTCATCAGCATGGCGCCCCTTGTGCGCCTGCAGCTCCATCGACATGGCAACCCGACCACAACTACGTCGACCTCAGCCATCTTTAGCATGGCTTCTTTCACCAAGGCTATTGCGCCCTCACGTTCAGCTACCTCGACGTCGGCACAAAGGGCTACCGCCTTGCATGAGGACTCATCGGCTTCTTCTCCAGCCACAACATACGCAACACATCGACTGTTGTGACTGCGGGGGGATGTTAGCTTGTCAGCTTCTTCTCCAGTCTCACTGTCTGCAGCGCTCCCACTGTGATTGCAGGGGATGTTAGAGTAAATAGGAATAGTACCACATTGTCTACCCACGTGAGGTGTTAGTCCTATGTACTCTATATAATTAGACCATGAGGCCCAATGCAATATATCATCTAATTCCACCAATTCTATTCTCCTTCAAAGATGACGTGCTATATAAAGAAGAGAACGAAAGGAAAGGAAGGTTATGCAGCTATAAAACTCTATATGAGCAAGGCGTATGATAGAGTTGAATGGAATTTCCTCCGAGATATGATGCAAAAATTGGGATTTGATGGGAGATCGATCGAGCTGGTGATGAAGCGTGTCTCATCGGTGAAATACAACATCAGAGTCAATGGAGAGCTAATTGATGAGTTCATACCGGAATGCGGGCTTCGTCAAGGGGACTCGATATCGCTACAAGAAATGTGTCACTCTATGGCATATATGGCATGGCATCAAGTCAAAATGTCAAGATCAGATGATTTATGACATTTTTTCTAGAGGCATCTCAACTTTGTGACATAACTAAATGCATGTCACAAAAAATGCATCTCAACTTAGTGCCAGAGGGAGGAGGGAGGTGGGAAAAAGTTGGGTGGGCTTTTGGCCTTTCGGCCCAGGCGAAAGGAGAGAGGGCGTGAGCGGCCTTGGGCAGGTGAGGGAGGGAGGAAGCTAGGGAAGCCGGGTGGGCCTTGGCCCTTCCAGCCTAGCGAGAGAGGGGCTAGGGAGAACGCCCGGTGGGCTACTGGCCATTCAGGCCTAGGCGGGGAGGATGGGTGAGAGGGAGGAGTTGAGCTTGGGGAAGACTAAGCCTAATTGGGGCTCGACCGACGGCGAGGGCCGCCCTGACGGGCGTGGTTTGGTGGCGCAGGCGGCCCGGCCGAAGGCAGGCGGTGTGGCGCAGGCGCATATATTATCTTTTGGTTGGTTGAATTGTGTTTTTAAATGACACCATAGCATTAGCACGGGCAACATACTAGTGACAATATGCCTTTAGTCTACACAAGGTTGAATCCCCTTCTCCCTTATTGTATTTTCAAAATAATGAATGGCTATTATTCTGGCAGTGTTACATCGGCTAGCCAACCCAAAATTGTCAATTCAATGGTCGAAACTGATAAAGCCAGATTATGGATGGCTATTATTCTTTACTTATAGTTACCTTCACATCATCACCGACTTTAGCCACAAAAACCGATGGCAATGCAATGCCTCTTTAGCGGTGTTGCCACAACCTCTTAAGGCTCTATTAAGGAGTTACCATTCATAAATCGGTAATCTCGCTTCATGGGATGAAGATTTAAGCCGATTTAAGAAAAATTCGCATAAATCTTTAGACAAAAGTTTGTGTGTACATTTAAAATCAGCTGTGATTACTTTATTCTCGGTGACTGTAGAGTACCGACTTTTACAATAGTGGTGCTGATAATAAAGACACAATTGAGCATATTAGTATGTTTCTTGGATGAATGGGTGAAGGTAGTACAATTAATGGAACACATGAGAATTCGTATTTTTTGTTATCTTTTATCAGTACTACACTACTACAGCAGACATATCACGGTTGGCTCGGAACCCCCCATTGCAGCTAGTTATTGGCCTCGGCAGTAAACACTCGACAGTGATTGTCGAAGTCATGAACCGACTGCAACGGCTCCTCAACACCGCCGCATTGGTCAATCATTGGACTGTAATCGTGAAAATCGCCATCGCCTTGCACCATGACCTGACTATGTTCGGTGCACGTTCATCGTCGCTTTGACGTCCGGCATGTCTGTGTCGCTTGGCGTATGAACCGTCCTTTATACACATGAGAGTTCTCGATGATTGTAGAGTACCGACTTTTACAATAGTGGTGAAGATAATAAAGACACAATCGAGCATATTAGTATGTTTCTTGCATGATTGGGTGAAGGTACTACAATGGAACACATGAGAATTCATATTTTTCATTATCTTTTACCGGTAATGCTTTTTTATAGTTTTATTCTTTACAACCTTGCTCTGTTTGTTCTTGGGCATCACTGGGGCGACGGTGGCTCGCGCATAGTTGGTCACCACCCAGTCCAGGGCAGTTTTGCCAATGACCGGGAGCCACTATGTCGAGGGCAGCTTGCCCCTGTCCGCCGCTGCTAGGGTGAGGTCAGACACTAACGGGTCAAGGGCAGCTTGCCCATGTCTGACCGCAACCGGGAATAGGACGGCGAGTTCGGCATGCGTGCTGAGGAGACAATGTGAGAGATGAGTAGGTCCGGATATTTTTTAGGGATGGGAATGTCCCGAATCTACAGGGAATCACATGTCCCTGAACCAAACACTGGGACCACACTCATATGAACCACTCCCAACCAGATAAATAAAAGGCACGTAACATGTGCGATACTATTGGAGAATAATTGGAGGAATAACTCAACTCACTTCCATTAATCTTATGTGGGTTTATATAGAGAGTACAAGGCAATACAAAGAGATGGGAAATAAAGAGACTACAACTCTTAATATGGTAATAACCCCCCCCCGGCGCAGTTGGAACGTCGACACTAATCCGAAGTGGAGACATTCAAACTTAATATGGAGGTAGGAAGACCCTTGGTGAACACATACGCATATTGAGATGTAGAGGGCAAATGAAGAACGTGAATTTCTCCTGTAGCAACTTTGTCCCTTACGAAATGAAGATCGATCTCATGTTTAGTGTGCTGATGTTGCACCGGATTGGTTGAGAGATAAACTGCACTAACATTATCACAAAAAACCACAAAGGAACGCCGGGTACAAAAATGAAGCTCCTAAAGTAACTGGCAGAGCCATGTATTTCTGCCACGGGTACTCGGTCTCTGCACTGGAGCGAGACACGGTGTGCTGGCACTTTGAAGACCAGGAGACCAAATTGTCGCCCAAAAAGACAGCATAACCCGAGGTAGAACGACGAGTATCCGGACAACCTACCCAGTCAGCATCTGAATATGCCACAAGGTCACAAGTGGAGGAGCGAAGTAACTGCAAACCATAGTCCAAGGTGCCCTTGATATAGCGGAGAACACGGTTAATCAAGGCAAGATGTGGCTCACGAGGATCATGCATATAGAGACAAATATGTTGCACAGCATAGGAGATGTCAGGGCGAGTAAAAGTGAGGTACTGTAATGCACCAGCGAGAGCCCAGTAATCGGTGGCATTGGCAACAGGAGGTCCATCAGCGGAGAGCTTGGCATTAGTGTCAATCGGGGGTGAAACAAGGTTTGCATCAGGTCATGCCAGCACATTCCAAGAGTTCAAGGATATAGTGCCACTAGGAGAGAAACATACCTGTGGAACTCCTGGAGACAGTCATCCCAAGAAAATGATACAAAAGCCCGAGATCCTTCATAGAGAATTTCGCTGTAAGAGAAGCCACAATGCTACGTAGGAGATCTCCAGAAGAGGTAGTCAATATAATATTGTCAACATAAAGAAGCACGCCGAAGAATAAAGAGAGAGGTATCCTGACTTTGCTTCCAAATATCCAATAGAGCGTATATATAAAGGAAGCAAACCTGTTGTACCAAGCTCGGGGTGCCTGTTTTAAACCATAGAGTGACTTATTAAGGTGGCACACATGGTCAGGCTTGGAAGAATCAATGAACCCAGACGGTTGTGCACAATAAAATGTCTCTTCCAAAGTGCCGTGAAGAAAAGCATTCTCGACATCTAACTGGTGGACAGCCCAGTTGTGAGAGACTGCTAGAGAAAGAACAGTGCGGATAGTGGCGGGCTTCACAACAGGACTGAATGTCTCGCCAAAATTAATGCCAGGACGCTGTGTAAAGCCTCGAAGTACCCAATGAGCTTTGTAACGGTCAAGTGTGCCATCCGGATGCAATTTGTGCTTATAGACCCACTTGCCTGTAACAATATTAGTGCCAGGAGGAGGAGGAATAAGATCCCATGTATGATTTGCTTGGAGGGCTGTGAATTCCTCTTGCATAGCATCACGCCGGTTTGGATCGGCCAAAGCACCACGGTAGGTCTTTGGAATAGGAGACAAAATAGTGGCCTGCAGATTCGTAAGTGTCCTGGGCTGTCGAAAACCTTGCTTGCCTCGAGTAACCATGACATGATCCTTTGCAACAGGTGTTATTCGAATGGCACCCTGTGGAAGAGAGCCAGCCGCAGGCACAGCACCAGGCGAGGGTAAAACTCCACCACGAGCGCTGACGGCGCTGGATGCCATTGCTGGGGGCGACCCTGAGGCCGCTATTGAGGGCGACCGAGGTCTAGCACCGGCCGAAGAACCTCCTCCAGCACCCTCTAAAGATCCAGCAGGGTGGCCCAAGTTCCTGCTGGCAACAACGCGAGAGGCATCGGGTGCAGCGGGAGGTAATCCAGAGCCGGCCACACCAGGTCCTGGGACTCCAGTACCTGCAACAATGGGTGAAGGAACAGGGCTAGACACTGCCCTGTTCACTTGGCTGATAAGCTATGGCTGAAAGTACTGTTGACTGATTTATTGTGAGAGAAAAATACTGTTCGTTGGCTGAAAAAGTACGACTTATAAGCCAAGCGAAAAGGGCGATAGTCAAACTCCGACAGGAAGTCAAGGTTAGATGAAGGTAGAGGAGCAGGAAGCTCCGCAAATATTAGAGAATAATTGGAGGAATAACTCAACTCACTTTCCACTAATCTCATGTGGGTTTATATAGAGAGTACAAGGGAATGCAAAGAGATGGGAAATAAAGAGACTACAACTCTGCAACTCTTAATATGCTAACAAATACAACTCCACTGCAATTGTATTTGTATCTCACTGCTGCAATCTAAACAGCAATACAGAACTCTTTTAAAAAAGAATAGAAAGAATAAGTAAAACTTCTCTAATTTTGACATTTGCAACATCAAATTCCACCCTGAACAACTATAGTCACATTTGCAATGTCTTTATAGTGTTTATTGTACTTTTTATAAATTTGGTCAAACATAAAAAAAATAACTTAAAACAAAAACAATGCACCTTACATATATTTTGTAATGGATAGAATAGTATCGATCTCGTGCACCAGCTGTGATTAAACCGATCATCCATGTTCTTTTTTCAGACGGAACAGTATTTTTCTCTCACAACAATTCAGCCTAAACAGTGTTTTCTAGCCAGTTTCAGCCAAGTTTCAGACCAGCGAACGGGGCCAAAGGATTGGACAAGATGTGCCTTCCGTATGCGACGAGGTCCGCGTAGCCCTCGGCAATCACCTTGTTTCCTTCCTCCCTGTCATAACCACCAACGACGATGAAGGTGCCATTGAACACCATCTTGAATGGTAGGAGTCTATGCGGAATCTGCCTACGGTCATCGACGATGGACATCTGAGGCTCTACCATGTGGCAATAGAGAAACCCCTCATGCTTGTTGAGCTGTCGCACCATGTAGTCGCCGAGTGCCGAGGGGTCGGAATCTGCACAATCCATGTAATCCGCGAAAGGGGAAAGCCTAATGCCAACCCGATTCGCGCCGACTTCATGGACCAGAGCGTCAATGATCTCAACCACGAAGCGGCACCGGTTCTCCACGCTGCCACCATACTCGTCGGTGCGGTCGTTGGCGCCATCCTTCATGAACTGCTCCAGGAGGAATCCATGTGCTCCATGGATCTCCACGCCGTCGAACCCGGCCTCAATCGCATTCCGTGCGGCACGTCTGAAGTCATCGGCGATCCCTGGGATCTCGTCGGTCCGCAGCCGGCGTGGCTTGGAGAACACCGTGTCGGACTCAGCGTCAGGGGGGAGCTGCGTGTCCGTGCTCGAGATCGGCGCTTGACCGTCTGGCTGAAAATCTGCCAGTGGTTCACAAAGAGATTAGCAACGGGATCACTCGAACGAGCTGATACTAAACTTGCGCTCACGAGTCACGTACTGTTGGCAAATGCGGTGGACGGCGTCCACAATGGGCTTCCACGCCGCGACCTGCTCCTGCGTCCAGACGCCAGGGGACCCCGGGAAGCCCTACGCGGTGTCAGACACACTCGTGTCCTCGGTGATGAGCAGGCCGCCCCTGGTGGCGCGCTGCGAGTAGTACACGGCGGCGTGCGGCTGCGGCACGCTCCCGTAGGCCCGGCACCGCGTCATCGGCGCGAGCACCACACGGTGGAGAGCTCGAGCTGCCCCATCTTGTACGGCGTCATCAGCGGGATCACTTCTTGTTCTTGGTGCCCCATCTTTGCTTGTACGTACTCAAACTGTTACCTTGCTTTTGCTTTGCCTCTGCTGCTTGCTTGCGTCAAAGCTATTCCTGTTTGGTTTTGCTCTGCCCCTGCCTCATCTTTCGACGGGAATTTATACGTTGCTCCAACCAATAGCTCATTGCCTCCGGCGGCTAGCTGCCATATTTCTGGTTGACTTAAATACACCGGAGGTCCATTAACTTATCACTACCGGATAGAGCATCTTTATCGAGGGCCTGAGAATTTGCCGAGGGAAAATGCTCGGGCACTCGACAAAGAGTCTTTGCCGAGGGCCAGGCCCTCGGCAAAAAAAACCCTCGGCAAAGACTCTTTGCCGAGGGCCAGACCCTCGGCAAAGACAAGCACACGGCAACAATAATTCTTTGCCGAGGCCTAAGGTCCGGCCCTCGACAACACCGCCTGACACGACGTCCATCCCCTGCCGTCAATCTTTGCCGAGGGCATCACCGTTAGGACCTCGGCAAAGACTTTTTAACCGTTTCTGAAATTTTTCTTTTAAAAAATTCTTTGCCGAGTACCCCTGGCCCAGCACTCGGCAAAGACAGTCTTTGCCGAGTGCCAAGCTGGCACTCGGCAAATTTTCAATTTTTTGTTTTTTTACCCCAAATTTTTTGTTGAGCCCGCCTAATATTGTTTACAACTTCATGTTCAAATTTGGTGTTTTTTCTAGTTTTTTTTGTTATATTTGATTGATTAATTTGATTATGTTGAATTTTTATATATAATTCAAATTTGAACTGTAAGTGCATGGAATATTGTAATCTAGTGCTTCGAAAAATGTTATTCATGGTATTTGGTGTATGTTGAGTCTCTATCCACGAACTCGCATCAAATTTCGCGCATCTTCTTCACGTAACATGACGAGTCACTTGCTGGAAAAGTGTTTTAAAATTATATAGAGTCCATACGAAGTCCGAAAATTACGAAACTTGTCGAGGTGTCATGTTATCGCATGTGTAGGCCGTGGTAAAAAATTGAGAATGTTTCGAGCAAGTTGCGACGTCAGATGCATAATATCCACGGAAAGTTCCCATGCCCAATATGCAAGGAAGTTGTGAGGTTCATTTGGTTGAAGAGGGGTGGCAAGTATTCGTCGTTCGACAGGCATCGTCAATTCCCCCCTTCTAACCATCCATTCAGACAACACATCAAGAACTTTACGAAAGGTGTTGCAGTGATAGACCCTAAACCATGCATGAAGAGTGGTGCTGAGGTGCGTGCTCAGATAGATGCGGCCTCCTAGTGGCCGAAACAAACAATGAAAAAGATCTAAGGTCGATTTCGTCTTGGAACCCGATCAAAGGAGGGAAGTACTAAAATGGATCAAGACGTTAATGTTCCCAGATGGATATGCAGCGAATCTGAGCAGGGAAGTGAACTTAGGCACTTTACGAGTCAACGGGATGAAGAGTCATGACTACCACATATGGATTGAGCGGCTTCTTCCGGCGATGGTCCGAGGCTATGTCCCTGACCATGTGTGGCAAGTGCTGGCAGAGTTGAGCTTTTTCTTCCGTCAGCTTTGTGCCGAGATATCTCGGACCGTCGATCAGGACTTGGAAAAAGCGGCACCTGTGTTGCTCTGTAAGCTAGAGAAGATCTTTCCACTCGGCTTCTTCTTGCCCATGCAGCATCTGATTGTGCACCTCCCGTCCGAGGCACGTTTGGGGGGCCTGTGCAAGCCCGGTGGTGCTATCCAATCAAGAGATGTCTAAAGACTCTTCACAAGAAATGTATAAATAAAGCTAGAATTGAGACTTCCATTGCAGAGCCAAGTCTAAGGGAGGAGGTGGCAAACTTTACAACACTATACTACAAGCCAAAACTTCCTAGCAATCATAATCCACTCCCTCATTACAATGTTGACGAAAATGAATGGACCCACAGCCTGTTCCAAGGCCAACTCGGCAGCGCAAGTGGATCGACCAATAAGATATTGGGAAATGAAGAGTGGCGAAGTGTCATGCTATATGTGTTGACCAACCTTCCCGAGGTGCAGCCGTTCGTCGAGTAAGTTCTCAATGAACTTGTTTCAATACGCCCTGAATATTCTTCATGCAACCCCACTGATTCTCGTTCGGACAGGGAATTTGTTCGTGAGTCCTAGCATCAATCAAGGGATCCTACCTCGCAGGAACATGACACCCTTCTTTCTCGGGGTGCGGGTGCGGGGAGGTCTGATTTCATTTTTTGGTTCAAACAAAAGGTAATGTCCAATTTAGCTCCCACGTTCCATATTCCAAGTTTCTCGTTCGTTCGATTAATATAACGACCTATCATGCTTGAGCTTGCAGGCCCAGACTGACTCGTCCATGAGTGAGGAGTTGAGACAGGTTGCAGGCGGCTATGACGTTAGGGTGCAGTCATTTACCGGTTATGACGTGAACGGATATCACTTCCACACAACAAGATATGAGCAGACTCGGCCCAAACGGAAAACCACAAATAGCGGAGTTTGTATGCTAGGCACTGATGGCCTCGACTATCATGGTACAGTTGAGGAAATCTATGACCTCTCATTTCATGGTTACAAACATAAACATGTCGTGTTCAAATGCCACTGGTTTAATCCTCAAGAAACGAGACGGACCCCTCATCTTGGGATAGTCGAGATTCGAGAAGATTCCGTCTATCCAGGAAAAGATGTCTACATTGTGGCTCAACAGGCCGTGCAGGTGTACTATACGCGATATGCCAACCAAGACAAAGTGAATCTTAAGGGTTGGGCTATTGTGCGCCAGGTGTCTCCACACGGTAAACTACCTACCCCAAACGATGACGATTACAACTTCAACGCAAACACATATGATGGATAGTTCTATCAAGAAGATGGGCTACCAGGCACGTTTGAGACAGTCTTACCCGAAGCGATCGAAATGGAAGTAGACAACAAAATGGAGGATGACGAGGTTGATGGAGATGTGGTGCAAAATGCCAAGGACATAGAAATGCTTGACCGATTAAGGCTAGGCAATGACGACGAAGACAACATAGAACCTTCAGATAGTGTTGCCCATTTGGACAATTTTGATAGTGATGACGACACCTATGATCCTAATCGTGAATATTATTCCTAATACATGTAATACTATGTTTGTTTTAGTTTGTGTTTTCTTTATTTATTTTGAATCTATTTCTAATATATATACTAATAAGTCTTGTTCATTCTTTGTGATTGCAGGTGATGGCGAACAGCCGTCCACGACGTGAGACGGCCTCCCTTTATGGTAGACCACGCCCTCCCGTTTTAGATGAGGGGTCGGGGTCAGGGGTAGTGTCCACAGGAGGTCAGAGGAGGAGGACCAGGGTCAGCAGGAGGTAGCGGACTCCTTCCGCGCCACCTTCAGACGAGGTGATGGAGGAGGAGCACGTGACGGCCACGCCCGAGGATGAGGACGTCCAACAAACTGAGGACGAGGCAGCCGAGGACGAGGTCGCTGAGGGCGATGACAGCCCGCTACCCCGACTGCTCACCAGCCGAGGTCCCCATGAGCCCCTCACCTCCGCTTCCTCAACCAGTGCAATCGATTCGCCCTATGGCAAAGAGGTAAGTAACTATAGATGTTATCACAACTACTTCATATGATAATGCTGGAAATCAAAAGAGGAACTGATAAATTTTCTTATCACTTGTGCAGGGCCTGGTTGGTTTTGTTTGGGTACTCTGCATGCTCCCCCATGAGCATCCTTGGTGTTTTGTGCGTGAAATGGTACCCCGGCCTTGTGAACGTGTTCGAGGACGCGTGGAGGGGAGCCGGCCTACACGTGGGACAGTACCGTTGGCCTCGATTTAATGTGTACCGCAACAAGGTGGAGCGGGCATCGCGTAGTTTTGGGTAAGTCTCTCTCGCACAACATTTTCATTGGGCAAGTCTTTTATTGAAATAATGAATGGATACATTGGTTTTGTATGCAGAGGTATTTCAAGCCGAAGAAGGACTTGAGGCTCGGGCGGATCAAAGCGGTTGCCGCCATCAGGGAAGTATCGCCACCGACATGCACCACGAGGCGTGCGTGGCAGCCCCCAGAGACTACTATGCTGTGGTGTTGAAGCGCCCATCAAGAAGCTCGATGCAAGACAGTGGAGCTGTCCCGGGCCCAAGACCTTGAGGTAGACGAAAAACATTAATAATGATTCATTTTGAGATTAAGTCGGTTTAATTTTATCTTTTTCTATGTCAAATAATCGATGACTTGTAGGTGATTCCCTGGTTGTGCCCATCCCACTCCGTGTGCTGGGAGATGATCGTGGACAGGTGGTTGTCCAACGACTTTGTTGAGAACCACGCGAGGCAGCGGGACCAGCGTCTGCTGAGGCGAGGTGCTACTCACCATCAAGGCAGCCGCAGCCTCCTCGCCTACAAACAAGCATATGTAAGTGATTTCTTTTATCTTATTTGGCGTTGAGTTCTACCTTATTTCTCACCATCTTGTCGTCTTACTCGTAGGAGGCTGCACACCCAGGCGTGGAGGTCTCGGAGTTCTCTACGTGGGCTATGTCCCACATGGGCAGGGCGTCTTCCTCTATCTCCTTCAACCCGTCTGCCCCGTGCGAGGTGTACTCCGACCCGACCGTGCATACTAAGGTCCAAGAGTACACCTCAAAGGTGAGGGAGGTCCATGGGGAAGATTACGATGTGCGCACTGAGCCCATTGATGCAGAGACCATCATGAGGCTAGGAGGAGGCAAGAAGCATGGGTGGCTGTGGATTGCAGATGGCGCCATCGACTCCACCACTGTTCCCTCTCTCGACGTGCTCCGAGCACGGAGCACGAGCTCCAGCCAGCCCATACGCCCACGGCCTATTCCGTCACTACAGTGGGTCGACGCTCTCGAGGTACGTCCAGTTTTACTCATCGTATGTTCATCTTTGCACACCTAAG